AATCAGTCATAAATAAAGAATACATTATCTGAGATGAAGAATATATTAGAGGGAATTAAAAGAGTGAATGAAGAAGAGGATCAAACCGCTGATATAGAGGATGGGTAAGCCAAGGACACTAACTCAGAACAGCAAGAAAAAAGAAGCCAAGAATATCATAATAATTTAAGGAGCCTATGGGAAAAAATTAAATGCAAAAATGTCCGTGTCATGGGGTACCTGAAGGAGAAGAGGGAGAACAAGAAGTTGAAAGCTATTTGAAGAAATAATGATGGAAAATTTCCCTCACCTGGTGAAGGAAATAGACATACAACCCCAGGAAGCTCAGAGTCCCAAGAAAGAAGAACCCAAAGAGGCCCACAACAAGACACATCATAATTAGAAAGCCAAAGTTAAATACAAAGTGAGAATCTTAAAAGCGGCAAGAGAAAAGCAGTTAGTTACCTACAAGGGAGCACCCATAAGACTGCAGCTGATTTTTCAAAAAAAACCCTGCGAAACAGATGGGCTTGGCGCAAAATATCTGATGTGATGAAAACCCAGGATCTACAACCGAAAATACTTTATCCAGCAAAACTATCATTTAGAGTCAAAGGACAGATGAAGAGCTTCCCAGACAAAAATAAGCTAAAGAAATTTATCAACACCAAGCCAGTATTATAGGAAATGTTGGAGGGACTTCTTTAAGAAGAAGAAAAGCATGTATCAAAAACATGAATACAGAATGGTAATAAATATATTTCTATAACAAGTACCTCAAACGGAAAATAATTCAGTGCTCGAACAAAAAAGGTAAAGTGGCTGAAAGGATAAGAAAACAAGACCCCTACATATGCTGCCTATAACAGACTCAATTCAGAGTTAAAGACATACACAGATTAAAAGGAAGGGTATGGAAAAAGATCTTGCCTTGATGGACCTAAAGGGTATTGCACTGAATGAAGTTAGTCAGATAAAAACAAATACCACATTATTTCACATACATGTGGAATCTAAAGAACAAAATAAACAACAACAACAAAAATGGAGACAAACTCATAGATACAGAGAATATTTTGAGGGCTACTAGACAGGAGGGGGATAGGCGGATGGTGAAAAAGGGCAAAGGGATTAAGAAGTACAAATGGATAGTTACAAAACAGTCATGGAGATATAAAGCGAAGCATAAGGAAAATAGATAACAATGTTGTAATACATATGTAAGAGGGGAAGAGGGTTCTAGATTTAGTGGAATGATCACTTCGTGAGTTATATAGGTCTAATCACTGTGACATACAGCTGAAACTAATATATTATTGTATGCCAACTATAATTGAAAAAAACTCATTGAGTTGTACACTGTAAATATGAACAACTAATTGTCTATTATATTTCAATAAAGCTGGGAAAAAAATGCCAAGACTTCTCGTCAAGTTATCTGAATAGATAAACCTGTGCTTGCCTCCTCTCACAATTACATCAAAATACAACTAAACTACAGAATAGCCATTATTTGGAGCCCCCTGAAGTCTAGCTGAACAGAAGTCCTATAACTGGGGACACAAAAGAGGCCACCTCAAGACTGGTAGGAGAAATGGAGATGCAAAATGGGCTGGTCTCACACCCACATATGGCAGTTGAGAATCAGGAGGAATATCTTGGCTACAGAGGTTCCGCCCCCACCCCTGCGAAGAGCAATGGGTCCCGGCCCCACACTGGGCTCCTCAGCACAGGTTTCCAGTGCATGAAGAGAAGTTCCCACAACTTCTGGCTGTGAAAACGACTGTAGATTGTGGCTGAGTGAAATGGAGGGCTGAGGGAGTCATAGACTTTTTTCTTATGGGGCCTGCATACAGACTTACTCGCTGACAGACTCACTCACTCTCAGTTCCACCTCTGGGCAGTAGCTTGAAAGGTAACAGGGACATATGGGAAGGACCTGAGTTATCTAGCTACAGAGCCAGGGCTGGAGGGGCAGCTTTCTCCCAGACAGAAATGCTGGCAGAGGGAATTGTTCCTTTGTTAAGACCACCCCCACCCGCTTGCAGACCCAGGCAGGCACTATATCTGAGTCTCCATCAATGCTGACTCATGTGATTCCTGAGTTCCCACTCCACCCAACTTGTGGGCCGACCCAAGCCACATCCAGTGGATTTTCCATACAAATAGGCTATCTTGGCTGATGTTACGGACTTTTCTAAAATTTCTTAAAGGTTCACAAAACCTAAACAAGCAGTGTCTGGTCTTGGCATGCTCCGTACTTCTTGCTGATCAGCCTCAAGCCCGGCACTAGCTGGCTTCAGTTTGTGGTTTGACCTCTTGAGGCACTTCCAAGTCCAGCATGGATGGCGGTCATTTAGAAGTTGCTTGGTGGTTTATGCCAGGTGGCCCCAGGCAGGGCACAGGCTGCAGCTGAACTTGGCCTGTGGCAGGGACCCTCCCAGTAGGCCCCAACCTGCATGCTCAGTGGCCTTATTTGGTCTGAGCCAGAGCACCACCCCAGGTCATATCTGAGGATGACACATCTAAAAAGAAGACAGTGAAGGCACCAGAGCCCTGCTAAAGAAAATCCTTCTCTGTTTGACCAGACCTTGCACAACAGATCCTCCACTAGTCTCGGTCAGTCATCACAACCAATCAACTTGATTATCAGTCCCTTCCACTGATAAGCAAACAGCAACCAAGCCTCAACTACAACAAGAGGACACAAACTACCCATGCAAGGGGCACACCTAGCACCCAGCTCAGGTGACCAGGGAAGACTGTGCCTGTGAAACCCATAGTACTAATGAAGGAACCCAAAACACTACTTTCAAGGAACATGTGAATCCATATTTTCATTGAAGTATTTATAGTAGCCAAGATATGGAGGCATCCCAGGTAGTCATCAATAGATGAATGAATAAAAAATGTTATATCTATATCATCTATATCTATATCTATATCTATATCTATAGCTATAGCTATAGCTATAGCTATAGCTATAGCTATAGCTATAGCTATAGCTATATCATATATGTCTATATATGTATATGTGTACATAGATATATAGATATAGATATACACATATTATTCATCCACAAAAAAAGAATGAAATCTTGCCATCTGCAACATCATGGGTGGGCCCAGAGGGTAATGTGCTGAGTAGAGTAACTTAGACAGAGAAAGACAATGTCACATGTGGAATCTAGCTAACAGGATAAACAAATAAACAACGGAAACAAGCTCATAGATACAGAGATCATTTTGATGATTGTTAGATTGGGGTGTTGAGGGATGGGTGAAGAGAGGAGGGGATTAAGAGGTACAAATTGGTAATTACAAAATAGTCATGGGGATGTAGAGTTTAGCATGGGGAATATAGTCAGTAGTATTGTAATAACTATGTATGGTGCCAGATGGGTACTGGATTTATTGAGATGATCACATAAGTTATATAAATGTCCAATCACTGTGTTGTACACTTGAAACTAATATAACATTGTATTCAACTAAAATTGAAAAAAATAAAAATAAAAATAAAATTAAATGTCAAACAAAGCCTAGGGAAAAAATTAAAATAAATAGAAATAAATTCTGCTACAGAAATTATAAACCTGTAATTTTATATTCAAGGTAAAGATTAAAAGAATGTCTTCCTGTTCAAAAAGGAATGCTATGTTGAGATCAGAGAAAGATTATGGCAAATTGAGTAGAAGATGAGGCAAACAACATCCCTAGATAAGAGAAGTTTCTTCAGGAATAAAGACTTTGTGATAATAATGAAAACAGTTTATAGGTAATATTAAATATTAGACAGAGAAATAATTTATGCCTTAGGCAGTGGAGTACAGTAAAGAGAGAGGTAAATTAAACATGTTGTTTTAAGCTAAATACAGAATCATTTGATATATTTGACAAGTGTGTGAGAGATGAGACATAAAACAACACAGTGGAAATAAAGGTATAAAATATGCAGAGTCAAGATGAAGTAAAATCCATAAGAATTGAAAATACGACAGAAATCAATTTAAAGAAAAAAAAACTACATTATGCAACATCTAATTAGGTTTAGGAGGTGATAGATGAAAAGAGTCAAAGAAAACTTTAAATATCAATTTAGGCTTGATACTAAGGGCACAGAAAAACATTTCTCAAAAGGCTGAAATAAAGCTTTACAGAAAGAGTATGAAATGTACTGAACAACTTTTTCCAATAATTATTTAGTTAATTCTGTAAGGCTTCATTGTTATACACTTGGGAGTTGGTTGTAGGTAGCTGAAATCCCAAAGAACTCCCTCTGGGTGAAGAATGAAGGAGGCTGCTGTGTTTATGGCTGATGTAACAGCATCTAAACTCTAGGCAAGTCTCCTGAGATGATGGGATGAAACTCCCTAGTGACACATGGCAATACCTGCTTATTCACATCTGCAGTATGACAGAGTAAATTAGGAGAGCAGAAGCATACAATTCTGGAATATTTGCAAAATATATATGTTCCACGAGAGTAAGATTTATAATCTGTATTTATACTGCCATCATTTAGGAATTATATTTCTCCAAATAATCCTTATAGTCCTTTATGTGTCTCAAAAAGACTTAAAGATTCATTTTGGGGATGTGGTTCCATAGTGTAGCGGTTAACATGTCTTGCTTTACAAACAGAAGGTCCTGGGTTCACACCCCAGTGGAGCCTCAGTCCATGGTCTATGGCCATGCCACCCTGAACAAGCCCGATGTCTGATCTTGGAAGCTAAGCAGGGTCGGGCTTGGTTAATACTTAGATGGGAGACCACCTAAGAAGACTAGGTGCTGTAGGCATAAATAATAATAAATAATTTAAAAAAGAAAAAAAGATTCATTTTGGAAGTACAGCAAGAAAACACTAGAACAGGCCAAAAGAGTGAATTGAACCTATATATCTTTCTCTCATTTATAGGCAAGACCAAGATGGCATGACCTAATGGCTAATGACATTTCAGGAAATGGAAATGACTATTTATTATGTCTGCTGATGTGAGTTTTGCACAAAGGGGATAACTATCCACTCTGTGTATGTGAAAGCCATGGATATGGACAACCCCAACCAGACCATGGTGAGCTATTTCTTCCTGGAGGGTCTGATGTACACAGCTGAACATCCTAGCCTTTTCTTCCTCCTCTTCCTCCTCATCTATAGCATCACCTTGACTGGGAATCTTCTCATTCTTACAACTGTGGGCTGTGACCCTCATCTCTGCTCTCCTATGTACCACTTCCTGGGGCACCTCTCCTTCCTGGATGCATGTTTGTCTACAGTGACAGTGCCCAAGGTCATGGCAGGCCTACTGACTCTTGATGGGAAGGTGATCTCCTTTGAGGGTTGTGCTGTACAGCTTTACTGCTTCCATTTCCTGGCCAGCACAGAGTGTTTTCTGTACACAGTCATGGCCTATGACCGCTACCTTGCTATCTGTCAACCCCTACGCTACTCAGTTGCCATGAACAGGCAGATGTGTGCAGGGCTGGCTGGTATTACTTGGGCCATAGGTGCTGTGCACTCTGCAATCCATACCTCCCTCACCTTCCGCTTACTCTACTGTGGGCCTCAACATATTGCCTACTTCTTTTGTGACATCCCCCCTGTGCTAAAGCTGGCCTGTGCAGACACTACCATTAATGAGCTAGTCATGCTTGCCAACATTGGTATTGTGGCAGCAGGTTGCCTGATCCTCATCATCATATCCTACATTTTCATCGTGGCTGCAGTGTTGCAGATCCGCACAGCAAAAGGCCGGCAGCGTGCCTTCTCCACTTGCACCTCCCACCTCACAGTGGTGTTCCTGTACTACATACCACCCGTCTGTATCTACCTGCAGCCTCGCTCCAGTGGAGCAGGGACTGGGGCTCCTGCCATCTTCTACACAATAGTCACTCCCATGCTCAACCCTTTCATTTACACTCTACGGAACAAGGAAGTGAAGCTAGCTCTGCGAAAACTTCTGGGTCAAGGCTCCCAAGAGTCTCCAATAGGCAGCCCACCCCGCTAACCTGTACTGTGATATTCTTAATTTTTCTGCCAGAAAAGCAACTATTCCCATATCAAAATGGGGAAAGAAAATCATTCAAGTGGAAATCAGTATAACAGAGTTTCAGCTCAGTCACGAACTTTTTCCCATTCCTTTGGCCAAGTGATATCTCAGCCACAAACTCTTCACCTGTAAAATGAAAGAATTGGATTAGGCAATGTCTATCCAGACTATTTCCAAGATCTATGAAAAGAGGTATGGCTCAGAGGTATGTAAAATGCTGTTCTATGGCTCAGAGGTATGTAAAATGCTATTCACATCCTCATTTATTTTACTAAATGATTCTTCTTTTATCTTGCATTAAATAATTTTACTAAATATATAACACATGTTAAAGAATACTTATAACAAAATACAATGTCCAAACAATAAATTAAACTTTGTATACGTGTCATTTATCTTAAGAGAACAAACCACAGTTTTAAGATGATAAAATATAACTACAAGGAGAAAAGGGACTCACACAAGGCTACTTAGAAAGTGTCATTATCTTTATTCTCTCACCAAGATGGCATTTAACTAAGTGATAGAAATGTCATAGATTTTAAAGCCAATTTTGCCTACCAGTATTCTAATCCTGATCCTACCAGTCACTAAATGTGTAATCTTGTGCAAATTCTGTAATACATGGTGTTTCAGTGTCCTCTTTTAATCATAAGTTAAAAATAACTACTTTGTAGGATTTTAGGAAGACTAAATGATATAATTATGTTGAGTGCCTAGTGCAAAACAGATGTTCTGTTTCTTATAAAGCAGGTTAAAAAAGTGAAAGAGAGCTTATTATACAAGCTAAGATTTAAAAGGTCTCTGAAGAACTATGAAGATTTTGATATCTTCTTTGAACATGGAGAAAGCAAGTACCTCCAAAAAAGAGATATTTCTAGACTCCCAGGTGACAAAAGGTAACTCAAGGTTCTAGTTAAAGTAGCTTGCCTTATAAATGGAGGGATTCATGCTATATTCAAAGAAGTTAGTGAATGACCCTAAACTACTCTATGAACTGAAAAGGGCCTCGAATGCCAGAGTAAAGAGCTTAGGTTTTGCACTGGGCATTCTACCTCTTTATTTCTATTCTATTTCTTCCTCATCTGCAGGGAAAAAAGAAGCCACATTTGTTAAATGCTAAATCATGTAATAAATAAGAAGAGAGGGATGGGGGGAAAAGTGTTAGAATGACCAGTAAATAGACTATTATAGCATCCTAGATATGAGAGAAAATTGTGTTTAACTTGGATGATGACGTTGGAGATGGAGAGATATTTTACAAAATTATGTTAGGGGTGTTTTAAAAGAAAAAAATGTGAAGAGAAAAAGAAAAAAACTGGAAGACTGTTAAAACTGGAATAGTACCATAATCATTTTGACACACAAGTGCAAGGCACTATGCCAGTTACTTGTTTTTATATTATTTCTCCATAGAACTATATTTTAATACAATGTTGTTATTTACATTATACATATAAGGGAACTGAGACTGAGAGAGATGAAGTAACTTTTCCAAGGTCATGCCAGGATAGTGGAAACCAGGATTTCAACTCAAATATGTATGACTTCAGAGACTACACATTTGGATGATATCATAATACCTTAGGGAGACTCAAACCTATCCCTGCCATTTGTGAACTCCCAATTACATTAAAAGTCTCAAAGTCATTTTAGGCCTTTAATCAAGGGCAGCGCTCTTTGAGATAAGGATTCTCTGATTTTTAAATAATGCCTAGTCATCTGTAAATGTAGAGTCTCAAACTGGCATTCCCGAAAGGGAAAAATACATCAAAAAAAGAAAGAAATGTAATGAAGATTCAGCATTTATCCAAAATTCAGTACTATTTCCTTTGTTCTAGTGTCTTGGAGTTAATGATATATCTGTAGAAAGTAACAGAAGTAACCCAGGCAAAATTATTATTCTTATCAGAGTAGGCTTTAAAGATGGGTAGCATATATGGAGAGCCAAATTTAGAATGAAAGATAGTACTAAATAAAACAAGTTATGGTTCCGTCCTAAGCATTACTCTGTTTTGTCAAATGGTTGCTGTCTTGAAATAATAGGATAAATTATGGAAGAAGATTTTGCTATGCAATTATGGTCTTATATTGTTCCCTTTTGGTCAACTTTGACCTTAAAACTTTTATATCTGTCTACTCAGTAAGAATTCTTTACTCTCTCAAACTCTGCGCCTCCATCTTCATATATGACTCCAGTAGCATGGGTTCTTCATCACATTGGTTTATTATAGGCCTTCATAATGGCACTGAAGATATCCTGTCTCATATTGTTATTGACTGTTTCATGTACATAACTCAACTATAAGAACTTTAAGAGCAGAGACCACTTATACTTCTTATGTGTTCCAAACAAAGGGTAACTCAGTAAAATATTTGTTCAACCCAGTATTCAAAATCTGGAAATAAAATAATACACATACACATTCTTCACAAAAATTAATCAAGTCAGAAAAAATTTGTTTTTTTTTTTAATCCAGTAGGGGAATGTAACAAATTGCCAATCCGCATTATTTCCTCTTTTTAGATATTTCTATCTTTGGGTTTGATTCTTAAGTTTAGGAGATTTTGTGTATTTTGCTATTACAGGTTCACTTGAAATTTAAAGAGAAAGGAACTAGAGAATAAATTAATATTAATTGAAATGAAAAAAATACTTGAGAAAAGACAACTATTTAAGACTATCATTTTTCCAGTCTCCTTACAATGCAAGTAGGACACAAACTGATATTTTCTTTATAATGAATATGTCAAATTGTCAGGAAACAAAGTCATTATTTAGACAGGATAATTTACAGAGAGAGACATACTACAAGAGTGACTAAGCATTCTTGCTATTGGTCATTCAAGAGCATGGAACTTCTGAAGGAGTTCACCAGTACTCCTGAAGGTAAAGTGTACAAAAAATTATGAGGCACGCAGTCAGGTAAACCAAATATCTTCATAGGGTAAAGGACTTTCAAAATAAAAATGGCATTTAAATAATGACCATGCAAGTGACTTATGATTTTGGACTATTGTTTAAATAATGTTAAGATCTACAAGATATACAGTTGTGTCTCCCCCACACTGTCAATGCTAGAATTTAATAATATAGCATTTCTTTTAAAACATTCTGTTACTTAGAGTTTTTATTGAAAAGTTTGTATTTTCAATTTATATTATATAAATCCTATTTTAATTATTACTAACAGTTCTGCTATGTAAATTAAAGTGAATGTCTGAAAACATTAAAACCAAGAAAGCGCGCAGACTTTATAGAAGCTATGATGACATAATATTTGCCCAGAATGTTGCACAAATGTATAAACTTTAGAGTCAGATGTTCAAGAACCAGTTCTACCACTCTTTAATCAAGGGAGACTCTCTTTGAGATAGAATTTCTCAAACTTTGAATAGGAGTCTTTGAACTTAGACCATTATACACACACATATACACACTTTCTCTCTAAAAAGTTTACAAAATTTTGAGATATTGGAGCAGGTTATATTTTCAAAATCACAGCAATATCTCTCATTCCTAATGTTCTCCTTGAAAAGAAACTATGACGTTTTCCCATCAAAAAATGGGGAGTCAATATCTTCCCTTTTCTAATTTGGAAGATGTTTTGTGACTTCTGAGGCTAGATCATTAAAGGCAGCCCCTTCCTGTTTTTCTTGGAACTAATCACCGAGCTCTGAAAAACCATGGACCATGTAAGAGACCCAAGAGGAGAGGCCCACATGAAGAGGTACTGAGGCTTTGGGCCCTCAGCAGCTAAGACTCAGACTTATGCACTGTGTGACTGAGCCATTTGACCTCAGTCAGGCTGCCCATCAAATACCAAGTGAAGAAGAGAAAAGCCTTCCTCACTACAACTGACAAAATTGTAGATTTGTGACTAAATAAATGATTGTTGTTGTTTTAAGACACTAGGTTTGGGGATGTTTTGTTCACAGCACAAAATTGACACACACAATCCTCTAGTGTGCATGATCACTGCCACTGATGAATACACATAGACAAAGGTCCAGGGTCATCCCCAGATATCACTAACATAACATTATTCATACTTCTAAATAACTTATCTATTGTTTTTTATACACCTGATCCCTCCTACATCTTATAATGACTGAAGCACTTCCAGAATTTTACTGCAAAAACCTCCAATTGTCAAAATCAATTTTTTCAGAATTCTGGAAATTAACAAAGATCTTGCAACAATCTGAGGAGTGTTAAGAAAAACATTTACATCTCAGTAAGAACATAAAACTTTGTGGCATCAACTTGTTCATTCCTATACCCCCTCCCCAGCTCTTTGGTAGCTTTGAAAGTTAACAACTTCATAATCATAGTAGCCAGAAAACAAACAAACAAACAAACAAACAAACCAGCAGCCTAACAATCACCAGAGAAGCAGAATGGGTTTGGAATTCCTCCAAAAGCTCATTCTCACAAAGTTGTCATCATTTGACCTATCTGGCAGTTAATTAGAAGCCCCTACTAGCAGAGTTTATCTTTAGTTGACTTAATTCAGGGCTTTCTCACTGGGTACAACATTTCTCCAGGGTGTTTGCCAAAGCTAGTGGCAATTGTTCAATATTGCAACTGCCTGAGATGGTGGTAAGAGCTGGGGCAAACAAGAAGCTGACCAAAATCTTAAAAGAAAAGCCGCAGAATGAGAGACATAAGGGGCTTTGAAAATGTCTGATGTATTCCCAGGGATCTAGATAACCACACACATACTCAGGGTTGTGTGCGTGCCAAAGAAAGACTTGAGAAAGCCCTAATTTCTTACTCTGGCTCACCTTGAGATTATGTGCATTTAGGAAGTGAAAGCTAATAAAGAGTTTTAAACTGACTGCTGGGACATTGCAAACATACCCAACACAAATACAGAGCTCTGAGAAAACTTGGAAACTCTGTGGTTCAAAGCACTTAAAGACATCTCTGTCCAATCATTAGCTAACTACATCTT